AAATGCGAATGGGTTTCCTGAGATTTGGAACTGCGCATGTAATCACCTTTTTCTATTGCATTTTGCGTTGTTCGACTTTGGTTATGCGGTATCTTATTTTCTCTTTCTGTGCAGCAGAGGCTGAACCCCCTCCTTTGGTAGAAGATATTCATGAGTGGGTTAGCCGAGTTCTTCCTTATACAGCGGGGATCCGCGAATGGTCGGCCTTTCGCAATACATTTGGGCCCAAGCTTCCCAACCTTTTTCCTCTTTTCTTTGTATCAGCGTGGGGAGGTTTGAGGAAGGTTAAGGCTCATATTCCTGCGTTTCATTAGGTGTCCACTACAACGGAATCCGTCCCATCTATAACCGCATCCAAGCCTGCCCAATCATCTTCCCCCGTTCGACCTCGGACTTCGGCGCGACTAACTCTGCCATCGGCGGCCTCAGCATCAGGGACATTGGCTTTTCCTATGCTGCATTTAGTGGATAACTCGTCATCGAGCGGGGAAAGCTTGCACCCATGAAAGAGTAGATCGGTGGATGTCGACGATTTTACACCTCAGGCAGTAGACTCTACAACGAGTGACTGTGAGTCAGCCATTTCTACCCGTGAGAGCGGTGCCCATTTATCATCCGAAGCTCCGATGTCTACGGGGGTTATGGAAGATATTCCTTTACCCGAGCTTGCGGTTGAGGTTGGAGGATCGTTCGAGGCATGGAAGTCGTGCTGAGAAACAAGCCGTTATCCTTGAGAATGGATGGTGTTACCTCGTTGACCGAGGAGAGAGGAAAAGGCATTGGCGAAGGCGGTTACGAAACTGGCTCCGACATTGACCCCGAGGAGGTGCGAATGTTGAGTGAAGGATTCACTCGGGTGGAAGTGAGGTTGAAGGGGTATACTTGTACCATCCTTGGGTCCCCTTTGTTATGATGTGGAGGGCAGGACCCTAAAGACGTTGAATGATGTTTCTCTCTCATCTGTCATAGCCAACCTCGCCCTTAGGGTAAGTTTTCCGTCCTCTAATTTCCGTGCTTTTCACTTTTTGTTTTTTGACTGATTTCCTTCTTTTAAGTTTTCTTTCTAGACCATCATTTTGGAGATTGAGAGTGCCCGTCGAGCGGAGAGGCGTAAGAACATTTTTGAGAAGATGGAGAAAAAGTATCATGAGTACCGCAATAAGCACCGCGAGATCTGTAGGCGATTTGGCGAGAGCGGCAACTTTCAAGCCATCAGGGACGAGCTGAAGCAGAAGGATGAGGAGTTAGTAAGGGTCATCGGAAAGTGTAGCGTCCTTGAAGGGGCGTTGAGATACAAGGAAGAGGATCTTGAGGTGAGCCGGGGAGTCGAGGCTCAATGTGCGGACCTTCAGGCCTAGGTGACATCTCTACGGGCCGAGCCCGATCGATGTTTGGTCAGAGCTACTTAGACCTATCTTCTAGGGTCCAAAATCAATGCTTTTGATATGTTAAAAGCCTTTATTGCCATGGTAGAGACTCATTTTCACATTAAAGTACAGAATGTAAGAACTGACAATATATTGGAATTGGGGTCTAGTCTTTATGGTTCTCAATATTTCTCTGCAAGGGAATTGTGCATCAAACCTCTTGCCCTCATACCCCTCAACAAAATGGGGTGGTAGAGAGGAAGCATAGACACTTGCTTGATACTGCTAGGGCTTTACTTTTTCAGTCCCATCTTCCCATTAGATTCTGGAGTGATTGTGTCTTGACAGCCACCTATTTGATCAACCGGTTTCCTTCTCCCCTTTTGTCTCACAAAAGCCCTTTGAACTTCTTTATGGTAAGCCTCCTTCCTACTCACATCTTAGAGCCTTTGCTGCATCTGTTATACTACTGTGCCTAAACTTCATAGAGATAAATTCCAACCCAGGGCTGTATCATGTGTGTTTGTGGGGTACCCTTTTGCCCAGAAAGGCTACAAGTTGTACAATTTGGAGTCTCATTCCTATTTTGTTTCCAGGGATGTTGTATTTCATGAACACATTTTCCCTTTTTCTCAAAACCTATTGTCTTTTCTAGTATGTGTCCTTTCCATTTCTCTACTTGTTTAGATGACTTGCCTCCTGCCTCTCACCCTGTTCCTGCTCCCTCCTTTGGTGTAAGCCCTATTCCTTATTCTTTTCCTTCTCTCTCTCCTGCTTCCACTCTTTCTGTTCCTTCTGTTTTCACTCCTTCTTCCTCCTCTTGTGCACCTCAATCTTCATCATCTCCTTCTCCTATTTCATCATCCCCTTCTCCTCCTTTGAGAAGGTCCACTAGGGAACACAAATAGCTTGCCTAACTTCAAAGTTATATCAGTAGCTCCACCTCAGCTGACTCCGCCTCTGATCCTCCACCTCCTATTTCTACTCAGTTGCCTGTTTTTGAGCCTTCAACTTATTTTTAGGCAACATCTATTCCAGAATGGCAGGCTGCCATGAGAACTGAATTTGAGGCCTTAGAGGCTAAACAACACCTAGGAGGTTGTCCCTTTGCCTCTTGGGAAGAAGCCTATAGTCTGCAAATAGGTCTACAAGATTAAATATAGAGCTGATGGTAGCATTGAAAGGTATAAGGCTAGGCTAGTGGTTCGGGATGATACCCAAGTTGCAGGTATTGATTTTTAGAAAAAATTTCCCCAATTGTAAAAATATCTACTGTCAAAACTCTTGTTGTTGTGGCAGTAAAGAAGGGCTGGCCCCTATTTCAATTGGATGTTAATAATACTTTATTGCATGGTGACTTGGATGAGGAAGTATATACGAGGCTCTCTCCTGGTTTGTCTGTTTCTTCCCCACTTTCTTCTGTCCCTTTAGTGCGCAAATTGCAGAAGTCTCTTTATGGTTTGAGGCAAGCATCCAGGCAATGGTATGCTAAACACTCTCAAACATTATAGTGTAGAGGGTACCATCATTCTTTCAATGACTATTCTCTATTCACTAGGGGTTCAGGTGATTCTTTGGTTATTATAGTTGTGTATGTGGATAACATTGTCTTAACTGTGACTGATTTGTTGTGCAATACCTTAGCCAATTTATGCAGAAACCTTGTGTTCCTCGTATGAAATCTGCCCACCACCTCCTGAGGTATTTGAATAGTACTTCTGATCTTTATATTTTTCTTAATAACTCCTTAGATTTTTCTGTTCAGGTTAATTGTGATAGTGATTGGGAATTTTTTCCTGATAGCAGAAGATCAGTGACTAGTTTCTACATCCTGTTAGGTGGCAGTTTGGTTTGTTGGAAATCTAAGAAGCAACCATTTGTCTCTCTTTCTTCATATGAAGTTGAATATAGGTCTTTGAGCAAGGCTATGGTAGATATTACATGCTTAGCTACACTTTTGGCTGATTTGGGCATTACTGATCTCTCTTCTATTTCTGTTTATTGTGATAATCAGGTTGTAGTTCACATTGTTAAGAACCATGTGTTCCATAAAAGGACCAAGCATATTGAGGTGAATTATTACTTTATTCACACCAAGCTGGCTGATGGTTTGGTTACCCTGCTCCATACTTCCAGTTCCACTCAAATGGCTGATGTATTCAACAAAAGTCTGCCTGGTGCTGCCCATCATTTACATTTGTCCAAGTTGGGTATTTTATCACACTCCAACTTGAAGAGGGTGTTCGGATAACTAAGTGTAATGCTGATGTGGGCTAGTTTTGTTAGTTGGGTTATATCTTGTAACTGGGCTTGGCCCAATTTGTATTTGTGCTTTCATTTTTGAATAGTTAGGAGCTTGGTCAATTTGGTCCACTACCGGGTCATATATAGTATGGGCATTGTCTCATTTGTGAAAAATATATTGACTTCTTCAAAATAATACCTCCCGATTCTCTCTAAGGTCATTATGAACCCTAACAGTTGTTGCTCAATTGGAGCTTTAATTCTGCATTTCTAACAAAATCATTGCAGTTTGGTCTTCTGCTTTAGAATATCTTTTTCCAATTTGAGGAACCTGGTGTACTCCGTAGTAAGTTCATTTATGATAGATCTATCAATTTTATTGTTGGTGTTTATCCAGGTTTCTTCTGCACTTCTAACTTTATCTTCACACTCTTTGACATTTAAAAGATATCTCCATATTCTCTTTTAGACAATATGCCCAATATATTGCAAACCTTATTCATTTTTTGGTAAAAGATTTACATAGGATTTCCCGTGACTTAAGTATCCCATGCTTCGTTTACTGTGGTCTGTGGATTTAAAGGATTTATTTTCTACCCATATGTCCAAAAACTTGAAGTACTTAGGGCCATCTACATTACTGACATTTAGTTCCATTAACAATGGATAATGATCTGGCTATGTGGCTGCTAGGTGTGTGACTGTGGTAATTGGAGCTACTGATACCCCTGCATCATTAACCATCCCCTGTCTAGTCTTTTATACACAATAACAGTTGAACCTCTTTAATTTGACCATGTAAAGGCTCATGATACCCCAAATCTATCAGTCCACATTCGTCTATCACACTGATGAATTTAATGCTTTTTTGAATTTTGTATGGAACCCCTCCTATCTTTTCTTCCACAGAGGTGATAACATTAAAATCCCCAATTATATACCAAGGTGCAGTAACGTTGGCCGATTGTTGTCTGTGTCTATCCTGCATGGGTCTTCTTAGATGATTTCTACACTTGGCATACACCACAGTAATATAGAGGATAGTTTCCATCTCAACATGTTTTAGCTGACATGTAATTTGTTGTTCTACTATACAACATGTAAACTCATGGTCCCAAAATATTCATATTTTGTCATTTGGATTGCTAAATGCATAATTCATAGATAACTGTAATTGTAGTTGTTAATCTATGAGCTATCCAAGAAAGGTTCCAGGACATCTATAAAGGACAATTTGTGTGACTGCTTAAGTACTTTCATTCTCTCTATTGCACCTGAGGATCTAATGCCTATTTTATATGAGTGTACTTATCATAATTAAAGATGAATGGGTTTTAATTCTTGATTTGCTTCTAGTATTAGAAGCAATATTGTTCTTGGTATCTATAATAAACCAAATATCGACCAAACCAACTGGCTATATTGATTCACTAAATTGAATTACAATCAACTGGAATTTGCAATGAAATAGTAAAAAGGATAACTGCAGGATAACAGAAGGGATGCGAAGTTAGAAATACACCATGGAAGAAGGAGATGAGAAGCTTGGACAGAAAGAGATGAGAAGTACAGAGCTTTCACGTAACATTTGCCTAATCCTCCAAACCCAGACGATGGCCCCTTTTACTCACTTCGTCGCATACTTCCTTAACCCGGATCCCAGATAAATCTCTTGTTGGGCTTTCTGATTCTTGGGCCTCTTCACAATTTAGCCACTGGCCCAACAGCCTCTGTCCAAATAACTAGCCCATACATATCATTTGAGTTATCCTGGTTTACAACAATACTCCCGCTCTCAAAAAGAACCTTGTCCTCAAGGTTCAAATAGAGCCACACTAACATTATGTTAGTGAATCTGTCACGACTCGAACATGCGTCAAGAGCTGACCAATGTCTTTCAACCTTAGATTTGATGAATCAATTCCAGTGCCCTTTGCCAATTCTAAATTACCAAGAGGAAGAACATAAGCCACAAATCTAAAAAAAATTTCCTTCAATCTAAGTGCAACAATTTCCATTACCTTCTTTGTACACCAAGGGAGCCATGAGCACCAGTAACACTTACTGATTCATAGCGATAAGACTGATTGAGGTAGTCAAATGATTCAGGATCCCCCAACCTACACTTTTTCTTCATCTCCGCGGGTACTGCATAGAGAAGATAGAAACATTGATGCTTCTGTTCAAGAATTAAACATAATAATTCTTGAGATCTTTCAAGGAGGAACGCTCCCATTTCTGCACTAGATACTCTTCTAGACTTGCCAACCCGAGTCTCCAGAAATATACAACAACTTGAATTGTCCGTTTGTAATGTTTTTGCATTGCTAATTAGTTCAAGCACTAGATTTGACTCAATAATTTGTTGGTCCCTACTGTACTCTGCAATGCTTGTACAGCCACCAAAATAGGCAAGATAACACATAAGCATTCAAGTAGTTGTAAACTTTCCAAGTCTAATGTTAGGACCAACCAAGATAAAAGTGCCTTTACCTTCAATTATCATTGTTCTATGAACAACATCAGCAACAACAATTGAAGCTATTTTCATCAAATCAACTTTTATATCATCTAAAAAAATACATTTTCCATCATAGTCAAGCTACAAGTATGTAGTGCAGCAAAATAACACAATGAGGAATCGGGCATTGAACTCAATAATTCTGTTACTAGGATCTAAAATAGATTGTAGTATAAAAATAATGAAGTCATCGGCACCACATCTAGCAACTGCTAATGCAAAACTAGTTAGCAAACGGGATGAATGAATACCCAATTTCCGTACAAGATCCCATACTTGAGTCATAGAGTTAGCATATCTAATGAAGTAAAACTCGCCAGTAGATCCCAACAATAGTACCGCCGCAATGTTCACTGTATAGTTTCTTAGAGATATGTACTTGGAACGTATTCCTGGATCCCATACAAAAAGATTCATCACAGGCTGTTGAGCTTGAACTAGTAAATAACAATCAGTTATTTTTGCATGATGAAACTTAATATTTCTACAAGGTGAAATAGAAAAGTTAGGAAAAAGGACATTTTGGTTGCAGCTAGGCATATTATTCTCAATTCCACCACAGCAGCAACTCCTCCGGTCAAAGAAAATTTGCTCTTCACTCAACATAGACAAAGCACAGTAATCCAAGATTGCTAAGTCCATAAGAGGCCAAAGCTTAACCATCTCTTCATTAACATTCATTCCCACAAGGACACTACTAGCAGACCAAATGCCAATCACAGTAGTGTACTTTGTTGCTCCAAATATAATCTCTGTCGCTCTATAATACTGAGAGCATATGTGAGAAATATTTAGTTGTCTTTCAACCAAAGCTTTAGCATGTCCCAGTCACATAAATTAACCAGAGGAGCATGGAAATCCACCAAAAGATTATGATCATTAATGTCTTTGTGAATTATGCCAATAGTGCGACGAATGTAGGATAATACCCAAAAAGTCCGGAATGTATAAAGCTTCACAAGTAAGAGAGTGTGTATAGATGTCCTAGGTTGCAATCGAACAACCAGGGGGCGTCCGTTGGGGGTTACCATGAACAAATTCACACCAGGATCCAATGGGAATTGATTCAAAAAGCATAGATCATTGGATATGGAATCAACATGACACTCTAATATCCTAATAATCTTCTTGAAATCATCCACAACCATGACTGAATAATATCTTTCAGCGCCAACAAATGTGGTGAAAAAACCAAAACTAAGAACAAATGAAAATTTGGCGGAGTAGACTTTGTCTTATAAACTAGACCACACATCGCAAGCGACAGTCTAACAGCTTTATGGGCCTGAATATTTGGGGACTGCTTGGAGTAACTTTCAGCAAATGTACGGAGTAATCCCTGTATATTCTCCGCCATAGTAGGTTCATATGTTACAGACAATAAACCATGAAATCTCCTCTCCTGTCCAGTATCAACCCAATTGTATTTGTGTAGGTTAACATCGTGGTAATGGAACAATATATTTTGATTAGCACTAGCAAATGGAAATGTTATCCCAGAAAATTTTCTAATAGCATTCGACATGACATATCCTTGTCTAGCGAAAGGAATTTGATAACTAGTTATATCCGTTAGAGGAGAAATTTCTAATACCGCTACATTATCCTTTGTATTTTTCTCCTCTTTATTTTTAGATTCTAGTAGTTTAGTCACATTACAATTGTAACGAGTTAAACAAGAAGGAATAGAGTTTGAAGAAATACCGATCTGATTAACTAGAACCTCAGTAGTAACCTTGGTTTTCAAGGTCTTAGAGTGAGACTGGTGCGTGTTGCCATTTCCCTGAGAGCCTTCATCAAACACCTGGACCTCCTCTGATTTTGTATTCTTTAAAGCAGATTTCATTGTATCAGTAAGGACTTCAATATCTGATCGCTCGGTAGCAAAGACCTTAGAACAACAACATCTATGTAGCATATTATCGAACACCTGGGCTTCAATTTCAGTAGAATATTCCTTGATTGTAGCCATGTGACCTTCCAGCGATTAGAGATGCTGCTTACGAAAAAGAATTCGCACCTTTGCGACAAAGTGTTCCCTTCAATTGCTTGTTCCGGAGAAGCCATCGGAACCAATCCAATGCCTCACCTTCGAGATAAATAGACATGCGTAATAATTTGTTATTTTCTGATATGCATAGAATTCAAAGTAGCGTTCAGCCTGAGAAATCCATAACTCTGGATCCTCGCCGCTAAGTCGTCGGAATTCCAATGGAGTAGGCTTACTCATTGCAAGGTTTTCAACAAACTCATGTAACAATGAACGAATTTCAGCGATATCCTTTGACTACGAATCCTTCACGACCTTAATTGAATCATCAGTAGTTAGAAATATTTGGTCTTTCATTGAAGACCTCTGGATGAAAGCACCAGTGTAATAAACCAAATATCGACCAAACCAACTGGCTATATTGATTCACTAAATTGAATTACAATCAGCTGGAATTTGCAATGAAATAGTAAAAAGGATAGCTGCAGGATAACATAAGGGATGAGAAGCTAGAAATACACCATGGAAGAAGGAGATGAGAAGCTTGGACAGAAAGAGATGAGAAGTACAGAGCTTTTCACGTAACATTTGCCTAATCCTCCAAACCTAGATGACGGCCCCTTTTACTCACTTCGTCACATACTTCCTTAACCCGAATCCCAGACAAATCTCTTGTTGGGATTTCTGATTCTTGGGCCTCTTCGCAATTTAGCCCCTGGCCCAACAGCCTCTGTCCAAATAACTGGCCCATACACATCATTTGAGTTATACTGGTTCACAACAACATCTTGCATGTTCATATATCTTCCTCTTGGAGATAAGCCTCGAGAATCTGTCACTTTGAGCTTATTTTGATAATCAAAATTTTGATTGGATCCAGAAGCTAGGATGAGCTGGTGATCTCGTTCTTTTTTGTCTGTATCTTCTCTGAATTCATCATCTCCTTCAGTATCATACCCCATTTCATCCTCTATTTTCACTGATTTGTACTCATCTTTGTCTTAGCCTTCAAGATGACTACTACACTCTGCAGTCCCAGAATCATATGTAGCATCGATAGCTAGGGCATTTTTTAATGTTAGATTGCTTTCCCCCTATTCTGCTTCTTTTGAACGTTAGAAACGTTTGTCCTTACCTTATCCTGAGGTTATTGGGTAAGAATTTCGATGATAGGCTATCATTATGTATTTTAGTCGCTTATCACACTCTAATTTAATGCACTTTAATTGAGTTTGAGCTTTAATCGCTCGTGTTTTGCACTAAATATGTATTTTATGCCTTGTAGGAGTGATTACGAGCTATTTAGACATTATGGAATGGATTCAAATGATTTGGAGCTTTGAAGTCTGAGTAAAACCCCAAGGAATCAAGCTGGGATCGTGTTCGGGGTTCAACGGATGATAGTTAAGAACAAAACGGAGAATCGAGCAGGCATACGACGCATTGTCTAGTAAAATGTACATAAGTTTTCGCTCAAAACTCCGTTTGGGTTCTATGATATATTGTTGGAAAGAGCTACAACTTTTATGTTTTGCATTTTCACAAATTCTCACGACCGCAGTGCATGGGACGCCGCAGGGTGCGGCGTAGCAGTGTAAAAGCTGGCCTGACAAGAAAATGCAAGGCTGCTAATAATCTCCACTAGCGCGCCGCAGGGTGCGACACGCCTATACAAATTTTATAGAGCCAGAGTCATATTTCACATGGGAGAAGGTGTTTTCATCTAGGCCAGACCCTACTTGGTATAAATACATGTAAAAACGTTATTTTTGGGACTTTTGACATATCTTAGACCTAGGGAGAGCACAGAGCCGCCGTGAAGGCCGGGTTTCATCTTTTATTCTACCGAACTTAGTAATTTTTATGTTTCTTTGTATGATTTATTGTTTGGCTACCATGTCTATGTGGAGCTAAAACTTCACGTTCTAGGGTTTTGGTTCTTTCATGACTATTGCTATTCGAATATTGATTTGATTTCTTAGTTTATCATATTGGTTTATTTATTCAATCCTGCGCTTAATTATTTGATTGCTTGATCACCAATTAAATACTATCTACGAATCTAGAATTGAACTCAAAAGTGGGAATTCTAGATTGCATATAGGTTTGAGCAGAGCAAGTTCTTGAACCTGGGCAGCGGGGAACGAATTCGCGGTTAGGATAGACATATACCTAATTGTCTTGCTTGATTGATTTCCAGGAATTATGAATGCGTTCTTGTTGATAACTCCATAGACATATATGCGTTAGGTTAGCTTAAATATGCGAATAAGAACTCGACAAATTCTTATGAGCAATACTAACCCTGTTAACCAATAAGCTAGATAAATTAGTCAGTCAATTCAATTAAAGAATACAATAGGATTGTTAGATAGCCCATAACCCTAGATCGTTTTCATCACATTGATATCATAAAAATCTATTCTCTCTGTTCAAAGTTTATTATTTATATTTTTTATTTAATTAGTTCAGAATCAAATATTTCTAGGTTTAATTCTTGTTTATATAATTAGGATAGTCTAATTAGTTAATAGTTAATCGCAAGTCCTCGTGGGATCGACATCCGACTTTTAGTCACTTTATTACTTGACGACCGCGTAGACTTGCGTGTGCGTTTAGCCGCAACAAGGTTTTGGCGCTGTTTTCGGGGACTTAGAAATTAACTTTTTCTAGATTAGACATTTAATTTTTTTTATCTATTCATTTTTTTTGTTTTGGTTTAGTTAATATTTTTTATTTATTTTAACAAGGCATCTTAGAATGAAAATTATTCGAATGATGGTTATTTTTATTTTGATGATCCTTGTCCGTATTATGGAGGACCTCACTGGTGGAAAAATTGTAAAAATGTTCCCGTGAGTGAGTTGTGCGCACAATTTCAATCCTTTAAGTGGAATATTTATAATATGGGTGGTGGTCAATATGGCCACTGGGATGGTTGTCCTAATTCTTTTCATCCTTCTCTGAGCCCTTATTATGATCTTTGTAATGATATTTGTGAGTTTGATAAGGGCAACGAAGTGCATAATATGGAACATGATGCATATATTAGGGATATTCTGAGGCAAGTAGCAAAGCAACAAGATGAACTCAAAAAAGATATGAAAAGAATGAGGGCATCAATCACAAGAATGAAGGCTAATATGGAAGAATTGAACGAAGAGAGCGAGTACCAGCAAGAGGAAAATTTTGAAAAGAGGAGATTTTGAGTCAAACTTGGCTGGTGGAACAAGCTGAAATATTAGAAATATATGAGGCTCAAAGTGAGAAAATTACAGATGGGATACAAGCCCTATTAGAAGGAAGAGATAAACTAGGACAAGAGATCGAAAAATTTGGCACTGCTATTCACGACTTGGGAGCCCAATTGATTGCAAAGGTTGATGCGTCTAACGCCCAACAACTTAGTTCTGAGTTGTGTGAAACTGAAAAAGGAGCTTATACACCAAATTGAGGAGCTAAAAGTGGAGAGTCAATCATTCGACCATACTTTTATTGATGATGCCCACGTTGAGGAAAACACACTAGAGTTATGTGTGGAAGTAGATAATGTTATATTTGAAGACGCTAGTGTGTGTACATACAAGGATGTAAATAGTGATACAATTCTAGAGTTAGGGCATATTGGTCCTTATTCCATATATTTTTCAACATTGTGTTTGGATGATGACATGAAAATCGAGTCATCTGAGCCTTTGGAGGAGCCAATATACGAGGACCTGGGTGCTTATATTCTGGAATTCATCATGCCAGAGAGACATAATTACATACCTCATTTGAAGGCCAAGAAGTGTAGAATACGATATAGGTTGTTTGACCCAATTAAATTTGTCTCACCGCCTCAGGAGCATAACAGAAAGCTTGATACCATGTTGGGGGCGCAATTCATAAGTTCGAGGTGGAGGCAAAACGTGATTCACGACGTGCCGCGACATTAAAATCAGATGCTTGTTGGGAGACAACCCAGCTTTACTTTTTTTTTTATTATATTATTTTTGTAGTGTTTGTTTTGATTTTGTAGGATTATAAGCATAAGAAGAAAATCCAATAGGTGAGTGCAAAAGAGAGCAGGTGGTTGAAACTGAGTGTGAGGTACCCATACAAAGGATCAAACTTGGGAGAAGTCTGAGTATCCCATGAACTGCTAATTCTTCGACCTTTGGCCTACCAGGGAGTCTCTTTTACTCTCTTATTAATTATAGTGTGCATTAAGAACATTGCACAATTTTAAGTGTGGGGTGGGGAGATTGTTTGAGTGACTTTCTATGCTATTTTAGTTGTGTTAGTTTAATTGAATATTTTTTTTTAGAAAAACGAAAAAATTGGACTTTTCCCGACGATGGATCTCCTAGACAATTTTCTTGAGGGATTTAAGTCTAAAGAAAAAGGACAAAAATATTTTCTTTGTAGATAGTGTAGTAATTCCCCCTTGATTTTTCTTTGTGCCACGGTTCTTTTTCAACGGTTTTGTTTGAACTGGGTGTAGTTAGTTTTTATTTTGTTAGAAGTAGGAAACTTTGTGCTATGTTTTGAATTGAAGCAATATCTCTTGACTTTGTTGTGCCTTGAGAATAGTGAGTACTTTAGTTGTGACGCTTAGGCTCAGTTTTTGACTCTTGTATAAGTACTTTAAATTGTATAATCTTAACTTTGCTTAACTTCTCTGACTAGAGTGTCTTGATGAGTCCAATCCTGAGTGAGTTGTGTGCCATGTGTGTGTGAGGGTTGTGTGTTATTTTGTGCATTGTATTTGATGTCTAGAACTTGCCCCGTGTGTTTGCAAAGCGAAATAGTACTTTTGTTCAGTCTTGGAAGTGATATAGGCATTTCTTTGTTGAGCCATATATATATATATATTACCCGCCTAATTGTTATATATCATAGCTAACCCCTTTGAGCCTGTAATCATGTTTCTTTGGCAACCGCATTACAAGCCTTACCCATTTGTTTGAATTAACCATCTATTTGAACCTTTTCACCTCTCATGAGTACTTGAATTGCTATGAACTTTGTAAAAGTTAAAGTGTGGGGTGGTCGGTTTGGCTTTTGAGTGGAACTAATGGAATAAGGAGAAAGGTGCAGTGTTTTGAAAAAAGCAAGAGCCACTTGAAAAGAGAAAAAGAAAAGAAAAAAAATAGTTGTATTGTTATGAAAAATATTCTTTGATAGTGGTGACTTTTGATGTAATTGTTCTTAAAGAAATATGGAGTTAATATACATTGATGTGAAAATGGAGTTATGGTTTGACATAAGTGTGGGTTTTTAAATATTAAAGTGTATGTATTAAAGTACTTAGGGAGGTGTAGTCACTGTTATATCTAAATGTATCCTACCCGACCCGCAGCCTACATTACAGCCGAATAAAGTCCTACTTGATCCTAGACTGAATGAGTTCGATTAGTAGAGTAATACACTACGGGCAAGCCTATGGTGCATATCTTGTGACATATGAAGGTTATTTCTGAGAGTGAGTGAATTCTTTCTATCATGAGTTCCTAAGTGTTCTTAAATTTTATTTTGTGGAACTACTCTCTTTTGTTGTGTGAGGGAATTTGATTCATGAAGGAAAGGTAATTTCAGTGACTTCTATGTTAGAGTAAGTGGGTGAGTTGCGA